CTCTACCTGATACAGTAAAAATGTAATAAAACTTTTCCTGTAGCATATTGAACTTTTTACATCCAAGCAAAAATTTGAAATTATCTAAAAAAAAGGGATGGAATTTGATCAAACATTAATACCAGTCTTAGACCCAAAGGAATCGATGATTTTATTTGTCAAATGCTATGAAATTTTTTTCGGATCACGTGTCTGTAAAACGTGACGTCGTTTTTCTGCTCTAATATTCAGCCTGTGACACGACTATTGCTAGAGTCAGGTGTCGAAAGTAGAGTTAGACGAAGAGTCGAGAATGTTTCGCATATATACGATCGAACGATATCCACTTGGTTGACAAGCCCCTGTTAATGGAACTTTCGTGTAAGCCATCTTCACTTCAACTCTACTTTTTCTCTTATTTTATAATCGTAAGCTTTAGAAGTTAACTTTGAAAATTCGAGGTACAGCATATTTTGAATCCTAACTTATAATTGACTATGCTTTACAAATTTGTTTTAGTGTATTTCTGATGCATACATGGAAAAAATTTTATAGGAATTATTACTAGTCAATTTAGAATAAAATTTACTACCCGAAAAAATTGAAAATTACTAGTTTTTTTGTAAAAAAAAGAATTATCAAAAAAAATAGTCCAGCATTTGATGTTGGTAATTTTTATCAACCAGAATAGTTCATTATTAACCGAGGGAGAAAAGTATGATATTCTGACCTAGGTGTGAAATTGCATCCCAAGCTAAAGGCAAGAGGGACAAACACTCAGATAAGGATATCTTACTATGTTTCGATGGCTAACATACTATTTTTTATCATACCATCGTCCAAATTTAAAGTTTGTTATCTGTTTTAAGGTTAGAAAAGTGACAATTTTTTGTCTTTTTATGCGAGATAGAATACGTCGTTTTGGGACCTAAAAACAGGGAGTAAATTTTAACTTTGGGCGGAGGTATGAGAAAATAGTACTTCTTTCTTAATTTTTAGTAAAAAAAGACCAGTAATTTTCAATTTTTTCGGCTAGTGAATTTTATTTTAAATTGACTCGTAAAAGTTCCTATAAAATTTTTTCCGTTTAGTTATTGGAGATATTATTCATATTCGATTTATGCTTCATTTAAATTAATCGTTCAGTATATTTATAGCATAATTTTTTATAACCTCATAAATATCCAAATATAACTAGATTTAAAAAAATCTTCCCATATAGAAAAACAAATGTATTTTTGAAAACATATTTCATTTCAAAAATATATAAAAATAGAATTTTTCAGCCAACAAATCTTGTATAATTAAGTATAAAAAAATATAATAAAATATATTTATGTAGTCAATTATATAATTATATATTTTTAATATTTGATTACACAAAATTTTGCTGAAAAATTATATTTTAATATAATTTTGTAATAAAAAATATTGTAAAATAAATCCGAATAATAACTTCAAAAATTAATTAAGGAATGGAAGTGTTTATTTAAGATTGACAGCTATTGGTTAATTAAAGAAAAGACGTTTGGTCAACTCAAGTCTCAATCAAAAACTGGAGATAAACAAACTCTCCCCTCGTTGCTATAAACATTCTAATCGTCAAGCGACGTCAACAACTCATAAAACTGTCGTTAGTCTATTAGTCATTAGATGGTGACATACAAATATTTTACAATATTTTAAAAAAACTATTTTTTTCGATATAGGTTAAGTTATTTAATCACATTGCATGGTATATTCCTAGCAGGAAGCAAGACTGGTCCAGTTCTGATCCAACATTATACCAATTTAAGCCCTCCATGGCCTAATTTTGGGTCAGAAATGAGCCCGTTTTGCTCTTTGTTAGGAATACACTGTAGTGTCTTCATAGGATGTAGTATTTAATTAGAACCAGTTACTTGGTCTTATGAGATCTAAAAATTTTGTCCTGGAGTTATCTTTAAAACTCTGTACCAGAAACGCATTTGCATATTAATATACATTAAGACTGTTTGAAACAGTTGTAGTAACATAATTGAAGAACGAATGAATATTAACTAATTATGCAGTCTTACTATTGGATTGAACAATATTAATTTGTCTAAGATCATCTTAAAATTTGTCACGTATTTATACAATATTTTCTCCGAGTTAATTGTAATTTGACAGTTATCTAGAGTATGAAAAACTCATATGACAACAGTTTAAACTGTTTTAATTAGCATTAAAATAAATTCATTTTAAGAAAATGAATAAGAAATATTTTTTATTAATAAATTTGACGATTCAGAGATTATTTAGATATTTAAAATAAATTTGGCGGCTGAGCTGTATTGAGGTATTTTTCTTTATTAATTAGCGACTGAAGCTTCAATAAACGCTTATATTGGATATACATAGAAATCAGGCTCGGGGAATTATCACCTCAAATTTTTTTTAAAGAATACAATCCCGTGAAAAACGAGTTCAGATCTGATCAGATTTGAATTTTTTTTTTAATTTTCAGATATAAACAGTCTCATGATACTGATCTGATCAGACCTGGACTCTGAATTCATTTTTCTGATTACTTCAGACTTGCTCAGATATGAATTTAGAAGACAATGTTAATTAAAATAAAAATTTTATCAAATTTAAATTTTATTACTGAATAAATATTTTAATGTCATGATTAGAATTCTCTTTCTGTGCTAAACATGATTTTTGAGGTAAAATAATGAAACTAAGGTAGACTCGATCCTGGAACCCTCGTAACTGTAGACTTGCATAGTCACCACTACGCTGACCCAAAAAACATGAGATGTTATTTTTAAATCATCTATTTGTATAACTGTAGCTATTTATTTTTATTACATCCTTTACAAGAATGATTAATTTTTCGCAGATCTGATTATGTCATGTCTATTTGGATAGTTTCAGATCTAAAATTTTAATTTTATTATATCTGTTCCACCTGATTAGATCTGGACAGTCTCATAATGATCTGATTTGATCAAATATGGCCATATCTAAACTCGCTTTTCACGGGATTGATTTAGTAATTTTTCCCATGTGAAAAATAATTATAAACTATCGAAAAAAATTGTATACTATTGTATGTATACAGGGTTACACTGCAAATCCCAGGATTTCACAAACGTGTTAAAATAACACGCGTAAAGTGTTAATGTAAAATGCCCATTAACAAACTATGCACGATTTGTAGGCACTTTTTACACGTTTTGTAGTGTGTGAAAAATCTATAGTTTGTTTATGACATCTAACATTGATGAGGCTCAGCGTTTTAAAAGTGTTTACAACTTGGATTTGCAGTGTAAAAACAAAATTTCGTGTCAAAAACGTAGTGAATAATTTAAAATAATGATTTCATAATGAACAGCTGATGACAAGAAGGTCCGCCATGACACTTAGCAGAAAATGACTTTTTTGTGTTTTTTTTATTTATTTTAATTATTACAAATTAATTTAAAGAAAAAAAAGTGTAAACAGTTCTAGAAAAATGTTTTTTCTTCTGATGCAACCATAAGCTTTAATTTTTTTATTACAAAATGCAGAAGGGCATTGGAGCAAAATGAGCAATGTCAGATTCATTTGCGTAGGAAAAAATTCAGGCTAACGATGATAATACAATTGATTTTAAACTTTTAAAAATATTTAAGTAAATTATATTTTAAATATAACTAAACACATTCTCAATAAGAAAAAGTCTTTTATTATCATTTCTACTAATTTTTTTTATGACAGTCCTTCTTCTGGTTCGATATTCTTTGAGTACAATAGTAAATGAAACATGGTAGCAATGATTACATTTGATTAATTGCCATGTTATTAATCTAACAACAGCAATATCCTGCTGTAATCAATGTAGGCCAGAACATTGAAAAAACCCGTATGCTTTGTACTTTATCACCTTCTTCTCAAGGCTTTTTTTCCCGCACTTTGTCTGCTACTTATCAACGATAGTGAATTCACTTCAGTACTTGAATTCTTTCAAATCTGTCAGCAAACTTACGAATCGCTTATACATTTGAGTGTGGTCTCAACAAAATAAATCAATTAAACATTGTTAAGATTTAATAAAATTTATAAATAATTTAATAACAAAGAAAAATCAATAGACTAGAAATAAATGAATGGGAAAAGAAAAAAAAAGATAAATTAAAATTGATCTAAAATTGTCTTCAGAAAAGTTTTTTTTTTTTTAATAATTAATAATAAACAATAAAAAAATGTTCATCTTGATAACTTAAAGTATTAAAGAACATTAACATTAGTGTGTTTCACATGAGAAAGGAATAAAACAGCAGGGGATGGTCATTAGTTTTAAGTGAAAAAAACAGCAAGTGGTCTGTCTCTAAATGTTCTCCAGTCTCTTTCGTCAGTTAAGTAGTCGCTCAGTTATAACCTTGTCGAGTTAGACTAAAAGATAAGCCACGAGGAACGTAACAGTGACCGGATGTTGGTCTATCGGTTTGATAAAAGCAGTGTAAAATTGCCATTCGCTCACTGCTTATTGTTTACTGGACACAGTTGTAGACAAGTTATTTCTTTTTTTGTGTGACAGTTTTGTGATTAAACATTCATTTTTTTTTTGCTTTACAAAAAAATTCATCGAACTTCGTGTTGTGATGACTAGAATTGTTTAGATTTTAATTCGAAACAATGAAAAATATGACAGCAAAAAATTGTTTACGAAAAGAATACATTAAAGAAGAAGTTTGGAATAAAAGCTAAGCAAAAGTTTATTTGTTTGGAAGTTAAATAAAGATTTTTTCAAAGTTTTTTAATATAAAAGAACAGTGATTTATTATAGTTTTAAGTCATTTAGTATTCATTAAAAATATTTTTGATAAGTGGTTTGACGTAGAATAGCTGAAAAAAAAGTGGTTAAATAATAATCAGATTTAAATTTTTTTATTTGATGGAATAAAACAAGAGAATGAAAATATTTTATTCTGGAATAAGTTTTAAAAAAGAGTTGAGTGAAAAAATAAATTATAAAAATAAAAAAGGAATTTAATTTAAAGAAGAAAAAAAGAGGGCTTATTCAAAGTTTTTTTTTTTTTGTTTTTATACTAAAGAACTTGAAATAATGAAGAAAAACAGAAGCTCTTCACAATGAAGTTAGCTGAGGTTCATCACAACCAATTCACAATATTTATGGCAATTTGATCGATAAAGAAAAGAAATAAAAAATAGTAGAAAAAAGAGGATTTACTAGGACTGAAACAAAAAAGCTGTAAAAATGCATTGTAGAGAGAAATCTACCGAGTGGGCACTCTTGTTTCCACTGAAAGCTGGTTTATTTGCCGTAAAATCGTCGATATCATCTCGGAGTTTAAGCCGAGACAAGGCTGATAAACCAAGAGAACGAGTGATTTGTAAAAATACTAAAATACGAAGAGGATCATCACTGTCTGATTTAGATAAACTTCAGACAAAAATTTTATTGCCTAATATTATTGGATCAACGGAAAAATGTTCTGAATCATTGCCCCAATCGCCAGCTTTGTCTAGGACTAATTTACAACTGTCGAGTAGTCAAGTTCGTGGAAGCATTGGTGATTTGATGAATTTAAAAAAATACGGAAGCTCTACTTGGAGTGTTCGTAGTGAAACATTGATAACTAAATTCGTACCATTGAGTACAGTGACACCCAGACACAGTCCACCAATGGATATAAGTGGTGTTGTTGAACATGATGATGGTGATGGCAGTGGAGAAGACGATGATGCTGATGAGGAACCTGTGGAAAGCAGAGAAACTCTTACATGTGCGCAGAGGACCCAAAGACTTAGTAAACTCATCAAAAAGCAACGACAAATTTCAGTTTTCAGCCCATCGACGTTGAAAAAATTGGCTGTAAGTTTTTGTTGGTATAAAAAATGAACATAAAAAATGTATATATGGAGTTTAATTTGTTATATACTATGTAGTGTCTTTTCTAGGGTGTGTTAGAGTAGTGTTTTAGTTTTTCGAAGCAGAATGAGATAGTGATTAAAGATGTATGTCTAGTCAAATCCCGCAGTACATGTAAAAAATTTTTAAATAGGTTTTTTTTAAAATTATGCGTACCTAAATTCTTTTTTGAATTTTAACTAACGATTAATTAGTAATAATTTAAATTGTACTGATTTATAATTTATTATTATACATAAAAGTTTCCATATAACTAATGTCAGCATCGCATTCAACATGTTGGACCACCCATTATTCCATTTTGCCAAAGTTTTTATCTAATTTTAGAAAAATAAACTCAGTAACACCTATTATATATATTATATTACACCATAAATAAATACAAAAATATTCAAATTTTCTAGAAGTATATTTTTTTCCATAAAAATAGATAAAACATAGTAATTTTATAATTTGCTTCCAATTTCACATACTTCCGGTACAAATAACACGCCGTTTAATGAGATCATTAAGTTCAATTGTTCCATAAAATATATCAGAAACGGTATATTTTTTTTAATGAAAACCAATAAAGTATTATTTACTGTATTACATATCTCAAATTAAAGCTTTAAAAATGAAATTTATAAAAGTGTCATACATCCTTAATCTCTTACAACCATGATCAAATATCTAGAAAGTGAGGAGGGGGAAGCGAACCTTGGAAAAATGGATTTCGATATTATTTTTTCAAAGCAACAGTATACTATGGGGGTACACGTCACGAAGATAATTTTTGAACTAAATGTAAATATTAAAAAATAACAACTGTACGTTTTGAAGTTTAGAAATACATATGCTTCTATCCAATACTGAATTTTGAGTTCTTGTAAGTAAACTTGATACTAGTGAGGTCTTTTAGTCAAATAATTACTCATGACAACTCAAAATTCACTGTTGGATAGAATTACGTGTACTTCTATTATTTAACAAATATACTTGTCATTTTTTTTACTTACGCACTAAGAACAAAATTCCGTTAAATGAAAAAATTTTCTATTTAATTAATAAAAGAAACTTGAGGTATTCTCAAGATAATATTTTATTTAATCTAATTACTATAAATTTTAGTGTTTTAATATGACTTCATTCATTTGATTGGTAGGACGAATTGTTGTCCGTGGACAAAATATCCGCAAAAAATATCCTGGTGATAAAATATCTGGCTACAAAAAATAATGAATGTTATTAGTTTGAAATTAATTCCTTGTACTTGCACGGGGTGGGGGTGGTAGGGTCCAGGGGCAAAGCCCCAGAATATACTTGCACGGTTTCTATAAATTAATAATTACCATCTTGCAGGGTTGGTTTCTTTTCCGGGGTCGAGGGGCGAAGTCCTAGCTCTAGGGGGTCTGGAGGCTCAGCCCCAAGTATATATGCAAGTTATATATATATGTTACGTGGTATTATTTGGAAAATATATGTATTTATCATTATGAATTGAAATAAAATATTTTTATAACTTGGTTGAAAATCTGAATGTTGCAAATCTAAAAGTTTATTCCATTATTAAATATTTCAGCTGCGGATATTTTTACTTCCGGATTTTTTGTCTATGTATATTATGTGACGGTACTATTTGATTAACATTGTCTCGATTTTAAAACACTTGAAAACGTTTTAAAATAGAGACAATGTTAATTAAACGGGTGACATCATATTAAAACACTTTTCATATTTTAAAATAAAACACTAAAATTTACAGTGATACTAGTGTTATCAAACACACATTTTTTTCATTTGAGTAAATAAAATGATTTTAATCAAATATTCATAATTTCGAAGAAATATTTCATTGCCACTATTTGAAATTTCGATGTTAATGATCGAATGAAATATTTTTGTATGAAGTAAATTCTTGTCTCAGTGCGGTTAGTGTTAAAATTCTCTCCATGTATCTGTAAAATACTCAAATATAATATTCAGAAATAGTCGAGAAAAACACACCCGAAGGCTACCTAGTACACAGAGAGAATTTTTTCACTAAAAGTAAGTGCAAAAAGTGACAAGTCAACGTTTCGAAATTTATAAGTAAAGACATTTCTGTTCGATAGTAAATTTTAAGTTCTTGTAAATAAATTTGATACTTAAGCTGTGTCTCAGTGAAATAATTACTTAGGATAAGTGAAAATTACTTACGACAATCCAAAATTCACTGTGGAACAGAAATATTTTTACTTCTAAATTTCGAAATGTGCTTTTGTCATTTTCGCACTTTCATTTAGTGAAAAAATTCTCTTTGTGTACTTTATATGTAAATTCTGTCATTTTAAAAAAAAGAATGAGACACGTATGAGTATTTACTACAGAGCTTTAAACTAAGTAACCAAATGATTTAAATACTCTATTCCAAGTATAGATGATCAAATGGATTAATGAGGAGGTTGAACATGCTTTCCTTATTTAAATTTGGAGTCAGGAAGTGAAATACAGAGAACCACTCAGTAGGAAAATGTCTGGATGAGGGTATCGAGTTCCAGAATATCACAATTCAGAATTGTTAATTCATTAATTAATTGGGAAGTGAGAGGGAAAATGGAAATATGAATAGAAGAAAGGCCACATCCCAAGAAGAATATGTTATCTAAAAGATGTCTTTATTATTCAGTTAAAACGATCTCTTTCTCCGCAAGATGTCTGAAAGGTTACTTTTAGGTCTCGAAATCAACTTCTATGTCTCGCTTAATTTTGTCTTGTACACTAATTTACATGATGTCTTGTAGATGTCGGAAAGATGTCTAGAACGTGTCGACGAAAACCAAATCCATCGATATTTTAATTAGACTAGACTAGAAGAAAACTAGACCCAACTAGAAAAAAGCTATTCAGAAGACATCTTTTGAACTCAGATAGGAAGATATCAAATTCCTATTGGATATTCTGAAAGTTGTCTTAAAGATATCCAAAAAGATGTCTATTTAAATGTCTGAAAGAAAACCAAACAGTTGTCCAATAGACATTTAAAATTTTAAAAGTAAAATACTCTTATAATTTTACTCTTATAAGAATAAAATTTTACAAAAAATGAACCACAATCCATCGGTAAAATCAGTTTCTAAGTAAACGACTTGAATGAAGACGATCAGTTGTCTAATAGACACCTTTTCAGACATATTTTAAATATTATTTGAATTATCTGAAAATTCATCGATATAGACATCTTTTGGATGAATTTTGGAAAAACTAATCGTTAACTTCAAAAAGATGTCAAATAGGCTGAGAAAATTTTTGTTTTCTGGCTGGAAAATAGAAACAACTGTTTTACTAACCGTTCTATTTTTCTATTCCGAAATATGTTTTTTTCAGACTTCTTTTAGACATTAACTAACGACATCGAAAAATGTCATCTTTTCGATCATTATTTTCAACGATCATACAATCAATTGCACTAAAAATAGGATTTATTTAAAGTTAACATGTTATATTTATGGTTAAAATTCTATCTTAACTATTAGTGAATCTTACTTCAATTAAACATGATTTTTTACAATATGTGAATCGTTGTCATATAGATAAATATAAAAGGCTTGTTCTGATTGGGCAGTGGTATGATAATACCTAGTACAATAAGTGAAAATATTGATACAAGTCTAGAATAGCTCAAGTGGTAAAGTACCCTAATAGCCAACCCTGACGTAAGAATTTTCGTCCGACTTACGCCCGACTGTTTACATTCTGCATCAGATTGGCATTTATTGTCTAACGTTAAATTTGCTGACGACAATCGTAGGTCTATCTGCTTCAGAAACACGACAGATATATACGTAAATTACAAACGTAGGTCGGTTTATATCTAAATCTGCCGTCAGTCTCTCGTTGATTTGGTTACTAAGCTACAGCGTAGCGCGTGGCTGGAAGGATCCAGGTTCGACTTCTCATCTTATCAAGTTGTCTTTTGTTTAAAAAATGTGGTTAAGGTTCACCGGAAGAGAGTCTAATTCAGATATTTACTACCCCGTATCATATTGTATGTATTTTTTACACCACTCTCTCATTTATTGTTAAGTGTAGCGAAATGAACATTAAATAATTAGTAAAATCTAGTCAACGTTTATTAAAGAAAAATAAATCATAACAAAACGTTTAAAGTGTTTAATAATTAAACACTTAAGTGTTTACGATGCTGGACACCATAAACAAACTATAGCATTTTGGTAACCGGCAAAAAATGTTTAAAAGTCGATTACAAAATTGTTATAGTTCGTTTATGATGTTTAACATTGCAAACACTTTTAAGTGTTTAATTTCTACAACTTGGTTTTGCAGTATTTAGATACTTCAAATATAAAAGAGATTTAAGTTTCGAAGTTTAAAATTATTGGTACTTTTTTTTTGTCTTTGTTTTTATTTTCTTGACGCCAGATTTTTATAATTAAAACAAAATAGTTTCAATTGGCCCAAGACTACATCTATAGTTGTACCGTGTACGGTGTACAGAGAAAACAATCTGCGCCGGACTGCGGTTTTCTATTTTCAATCAGTTTGTATCCTTGAGAGAAGCATGAGGTATATGTATAGAAAGCGAATATTAGAAGACTTTATGAGTCAAGGAAGGAAAAAATCGTCTCTAATAATACTTTGATAAATCCAAGAGATTACTTACATATTATATAGATCATCAAAAAAGTCAAAGTTGAAATGAAACTTTGTTGAAGCTTGTTAGAGTTTTTAAAATCTTCTTCTTTTTTCATTCAATTTCTTCGCTTCATTTTGTAGAGTTAGTCTTTCCAAGCTTTATTGTATTTTATGCAGCTTTTTTTTTCAAACTTTCAAGTATGAGGATTGATTACTGACGGTCTGTCAATGAATTCTAATTCTCCTATCGATCTCTGTCTATCTTTCCGACTGATTAATTATGGAACGTGGTATTAGCAGGTCGTGTACTGTCGTGTGATACTTACTACTAGTTAAATATTCATAAGCGCATTGTTAAGTCGTGCTTATTAGAAAAGTGTAAATTGTTCTGTCTGTTCTTTTCTTATCCAAATGAATATTTATCAAACAATAGAACGTTTGATGCCCATGAAAAGAAAAGTTAATTGTTTTTTCTTGAAAGAAGTAAAGAATTCCAATTTCTCTCAAAATATTAATTATTGCTTTAATTTTTTTTAAAACTTTATGATAATTCTTGAATCTTCTTCAAAGTTTTCTGATCAATTTGGAAGTAATGAAGAGGTGTAAAGCTTCTTCTAATCTGCTGATCCTTCACTAAATAAAGTTTACTTACCTAACTTAATTTTATTCTTCAATAATTTCATCACAAAAATCGATTAATATAAAAAAAATCTTTCAAAATTAAACTTATCTTTCGTCAGCAATTATTTCGAATATGACTCCTTAAGAGTTTAAACTTGTCATATTTTAATTATCTATTCTTTCTTTTTACATCCGAAACGACCGAAATGAAAGTAATTTCTTGCAACGCATTCTTTTCTATCACAAAGCCAAAACGTGTCGGAATTTTTCATTTTTTTGCGTTTTTCTCCCCTCGATTTCTCTTCATTTCAAATTAAAAAATGCCTGCAGCCATTTGTCGGATTGTGATATCACTATCAGAGTCCACGTAACAGAATATGCCGACGGCAAACATTAAACATTGACGAAGAAAGACCGACATAACATTGAAAAACTGAGGAACAGAATGTAAAATGGAAAATTTTTAGAGAATTTTTAATGAAGCCCATACTTATAGTATAAACGTGTTGTAGAGTTACTAGGTATGCCAAATTCTCTTCAAGTTGTGTTGAAACCCAACTAGCTGTGATAATTATTCACAATTAACGATGTTCAATTATCACGTGGCGTTTTAATTGAATTAATTAATCGCTTGTCATTCGAATATTTTCAGAACAAGAATTCAATAATGTTTTTTGGAAGATTTTTGATATCAACTCATTGATAGGAGATATTTCATTTTGAAAATTTACATTGGACCATCATCGACATGGCAACCAATGATGGTCTAATCTAAAAGCACACTGCACTAGATGCTTTCAATACACTAAGTATGCTCAGTATTTGATGCCATATATTTTTTACACATTTAAAGTGTGTAAAAAGTGTCTACAAAACATGTATAGTTTGTTTATTAAATATGTTTTGCTGGTAAAAAATAGGCGGTGATCGAAAAAGAAACTTTTATAATCCGAATAGTTAACAAATACTTGTTGAGGAAAAATGGATTGATATTGATAGAAAATAGTACTGCGTATGTTTATTAACATGATCTCATAAAATTTTATTAATTTATTTCAGCAAAATTACTTACATCCCTTAATTTTGTATATTTATATATAATTGTTACAACCAATTTTAAGAAGTGCTCTCTTACTATTTTTTCACTAAATAAAATTTTAAATAAATTAATTTATTTCATAGTTATCTAAGTATATTTCAATTACTAATTTTTTAATGTTTTATGTTTCAGGTGAGTACTACATTTTCTTGTTCATCCCTTATTAATAATTCAATCAGCATTTTCAGTATTTCTTATTGAATATTCGGTAAGTAATTTTAAGTACGTCAATGTTTTGCTTCTATAAGAAAATGAAATACAATAAATGGGAGTAAAGTTAATAATAACTTAAATTCATATAACTCACACGAAGATGTGAAATATTTATCATCATAATTAGCTCAAGCCTTTTCACTATAATTAAGATAAAACACAATACGTGTTATAAAATTTCTCATTATTTAATTATTATTATAATTATTGAATTATTCGTTTTAGTAAAAACTTAACTAATTAGAGTTAAGTTTCCTGTAAAATTACAATTTTATAATGATTGTAAAACTAACGGAGTGTTATAAATAATTTGGACATTATTAAAAAAATTTAATTAATTTGTGAAAATTGTTTTAATTCAATTAAAAATAATCTAATTAATATTAATGCTAATTAAATTAATTACTAATGACCGTGAATTAATTTTAATTCTCTTTTTGGAGCACGCAATTTATTAGATTGAAGGTAATTTTTAGTTACTCGCGCTAAATCTCGTTTCTCTCTCTTTCTTTTTTCTGTCATGACCAGTGTAAGACGCTATTACAATGGAACTCTTGTTTCGTTTTTCGAGAAATATCACGTGATGCGTAAAGCAAACAGAATAATACGATGTGGTGGAATAATTCCACTTAAAAAATAAAGAAAAATCGAAATTAGTTATTCGAGAAGTTCCACTGTTACTTCTCTAGCATCACTTTCAGGATTGTAGATCTGTAACAATCAAAGAATCGAAGTTACATTACACCGCAAATCCCAGGATTTCACAAACGTGTTAAAATAACACGCGTAAAATGTGTTCAATGTAAAATGCCCATTAACAAACTATGCACGATTTGTAGACACTTTTTAAACGTTTCGTAGTGTGTGAAAAATCTATAGTGTGTTTATGACATCTAACATTGATGAGGCTTAGCGTTTTAAAAGTGTCTACAACTTGGATTTGCAGTGTAATTCTAAATACGAACCTAATTTCTTCTTATTCGGAAGTTAAATGTTCTCGAATGAAAAAATATAACTTTTATCAAAATTGAGGCCAGAAAGTAGAAAAGATACAAGTTGACAAATCAAATGGGTGACGTCATATTTAACCCACTTATTATTCTACCCACCTATTTATCGTATAAATATTTTTTAATTAATTTTCTAAGTTAATTGTTCAAATACGGTAATTTGCCAAAGAAGTATTGTCATGGTTGAAGTTAATATTTCAAAAAATTCCTCATTTACCAATAGAAATCGAGAAATTATCGAAGAAATTCCAAGACCCTGGACAGTCCCTTGATTTGTCTTTAAAGTCGCTTTCGAGAGATTTCGAGCGTTAGAAAGCCCCTCGACAGAATTTCTACTACAGTATTCACTGATTAATATTAAGGGAATAAAATTTACGCTGCTAGACAGGGATTTTTACAAAGTGGAAAAGTAAATTATACTGTCTTTTAGAATAAATTTTATTCTGCCGGGTGAATGTTATTTTTTGTTCTCCAAATAAATCAACGAATATTTACTGACTCTATAGTTACTTACAATGATTTTTACTGTTTTATTGTTAGAAAGTGTGTGCCATGATTACATTGTGTAATTCGGTAATATTTACTCAATTCTTCTTTCCGTATAGTAATTGACATAATAACAATAATCAAGCAAAATTTTTAATGATCCAAACTAATTTAGTTTTATGTGTTCTCTATTATTGTAGTCAGACTCCTGTAATTCCTTGATTCACAATTTCTAAGTAGACTCTACTCCTTCCTTCCTTCTCTCTCTCTACTTAGTTCAAGTTTTTCAGGAAATATTAGAATAAAATGTTTACTTGCTCGAAAACAGCTTTAAATAACTATAAAATATTTCATACAGAGAATTTATGCGTCAAGCATAAATTGCCTCCATTTTGACCTTACGTCATGATACGTCAAGGCATTACCATGATAAGATACAAGTTATAAAATGATTTTTGCAGGTTATACTTTTTGAAATTAAAATATTTTCCTTATTCTAACATAATCATGGACTGAAATCAAGAATTCGTAAAGAAAACAATTATCAGCTTCTGATTAAACATACTATTATGCATCATTATTGCTTCATTCATAATATACGAAATTGAAAAAATTTCGTTGCGCAAAAATTGGGTGAAATGAAAGTTTATTCCTGGAGAAATCATACGTTTCTGTTATTAAGTTGGTGATCAGGATTTTTGATTGCTATGAAGTTCTCTCACTAACGGATTATAAAGTTGGTAACAAGTTATTCTTGCTTTAGCGTGAATATACAAATAATTCAAGTATTTTATAAATAAATTTTTATTTTTTTAATATTCATTTTCAGTTGATATGTACGAAAAATCGTGAAATCTTATCAAAAACAGCCTCCTCCTTCTGGGCTAAAGAAAAATGTGCGCCAACTATAAAAAAAAAATTGAATACATTTTAGGACACTATAAACATAGCTACCAAAAATTGGGCGAGGTTGTTACTTATTAATTGGTTTTAATATTTATAATATAATCTAAATTTCATGCTTCGATAAAGTCTTATTATTAAAAGTCATTTAATTTGAATGATAGTGTAATGACGAAGATTCGGAAAAATAAATTCGATGTAATTGTTTCTTTTTTATCACAAAAAATTTTAGGGTGAATGAAGTAGAAGGCAATAATGAATCAACTTTGCTTATTATACCATCAGAATTTTTAGAAAATTAAAAATTTTGAGAAATTTCAATTAAATACTGGTTTTAATGTCGTAATACGATTTATAACAAATAAATATTGTTTCTAATACGTTTAATTTATTATAAATAATTGTTAAAAAATAGTAATGATCCGTTAAAACTTTGAATTTCAATAAATATTTAAAATATAAATAAATAAAATTTTCATACATTTGTAACAAACAATGAAATGTAATGTCTAAATGTATTTTTAATTATTTCATATAATTATTTAAAATATATTTTAAGAAAAGCTAAAAATGAATAGCGATAAACTTAAGGATTGAGGTTAACGATTATTACTCAAGTTATTTTTTTTTTTGAGTTTTCCTAAGATTTCGTTAAAATAGAAAGGATTTCGAAGAATAGTTGAGGAAGTCATTTTTTAGATATTTTATTGCTTTTGGAAAACCCACGTGGCGAAAAGCAATAAAACTCTAAAAAAAGAGTACGTGACATAAGAAGAGCGTTAAGCTTTTTCAAAAAGGGAAAAGACCATGCGAAGGGACTTGTGCGCGCCTGAAGCAAGGGACTTCTAATTATGTCACATTCGACTAAATAAATACGTAAGGTTTGATGCATCAGTCAGTTGTCGAAAAAGTAAGATCGAGATCAGATCGTCGTGGAACATCTCTTGAAATCATAAGTCTTGAGTATTGTATTGATAATACTTCAAAGTTTGTAAATTTTTGCATGAAGTTTATTTGATCGTCAAATTATTTTTAAATTGATATTTAAATTAATTCGCGAGAAAAAGTGAATAATTGCGCTGACTGGAACATCGACTGAGGACCAATTAATTGTAATTCATCTCGACCAGAGTAAAAGAAATCATCTGTTGGTAACGTTTAAATTGTTGTTATAATTTTTCAATAATTTTCATTCAATAAAATTTTGTTATTGTTTTTTATATAAATCACACATTTTTACTTTCTCTATCGAAGATCCCCTCATCCCTGTCTATTGGTCGAAAGGCTAGGACTAAAAAGAGGAACTTAAAGTCTCTAAGGTTAAGCATATGGTTTACATATTGACACCTTTAAAGAGCAAAATTACATGACAATTTTTGGGGGCTCGTCCGGGATTGCAATGATCTTCTATGGAGAAATAGTTTAAATGTCTGATAATTCTGGATCATCTAATAATAATAAAAAAGGTTATTCGTTGAGAAGTACCGGTGACCCACTATATCCTGAAGGTTTAGCTCCGCCTACTAGACCTAAAAGTTTCAAGTTTGTTGATTCGGGTATCGGTGATTTAACAAAAATATCAGAATCGAGTGAACTCGTTACATCTGACGAGAGTGATAATAGTGACGAAACGATAAATCAAACTCAAGCTCACGTAGAGACGGAAAATTTAGATATAAATATGACGGAACAAAGGAAAATGTCTGATAATCAAAATATATCTCTCAAAGACGCGTTAATATGCATTCCTATATTTACGGGCAAACCAGAAGAATTAATTGATTTTTCAAATTGTTGTGAGGAAGCAAAATGTATGTTACCAGAGCAAGTAGAATCAAATCTCACTAAATTAATTTTTGGTAGTAAATTATCTCCTTCAGTTAAAGATGCATTAAATAAAATAACATATAGCACTGTAAATGAACTCTTAAGAGATCTTAAAAAAGTTTATGTTCCTTCTAAAACACTTTTTCAGTTGCAAGGTGAACTAGGAAGAATGTTTCAAAAAGATGATGAATTAGTAGTAGACTTTGTTAATAGATTACGGAAAAAAGCAAAAGAAATAGTAGAATGTTTCAAATCAAATAATCCGACTGCTATTCCGAATGAAATTCAAATCTATAAGGATAATACTGATAAAGCCGTAGCTCAATGTTTTGTTCAAAATTTAAGAAATGAAATAGATCAACGAATGTCTCGATGTGACAACGTCACTGAGGCCTTAGAAAAGGCAATAGAAATAGAAAGACGATTAATTGCGCGAAAAGAAATTCGTAAAGACCCAAATAGTATAAAAACTAAAGAAAATAAAAATGAAGGTAAAAATAAACCCGTTAAATTTGTAACTAATAAACTAAATAACGATAAAGACAAAAGTTTAAATAATAATAGTCAAGAGAAACCAAAGATTATTTGTCATTCATGTAATAAACCTGGTCATATAAAGAAAAATTGTCGAGAGAAAGATAATAATAATTCAAGAGGAAATTGTCAGCTTTGTAATAAAACTGGACATACTGCTAAAAATTGTTTTAAAAATCCAAATAGAGTTTCATCAAACGTAAAATGTCAAATTTGTGAAAAAAATGGTCATATTGCTAAAACGTGTCGATTAATTAATCATTCGAATGAAAGTAATCAAAGTAAATCTTGTAAATTTT